AACCAAAGTTTGAGAAGAGGAGAGTGTTGACATGTTGTGGGGTTGATGACCATTGTCACAAAACAATGTGTACTAACTGTTTAATGAGAAGCTAGTTTGTTCTGTAAACCTTCATCTAAAGTACAAAAAAACTCTTAAAACTTAACAATCAGTGAACAACCCAATTAAAAAGCCAGCAAAAGACTTGAGCAAACACTTCACCAAAGAAGATACACAGATGGCAAGCATGCACATGAAAAGAAGTTCACCACCATTAGCCATTAGGGAACCATGATGAGATACCATTACACACCTATTAAAATGGCTGAAAAGTACTGACAATGCCAAGTACTGGGGAGAATGAAGAGCAGCTAGAACTACCTTTGTTTCTGAATAACAACTTATGCTACAAGAAGTGACATTTTGACTTTGTGGCTTTTGGCAAAGACACACTCACCAGTTTACTAAACAGGTTTTAGTCAGAGGATATCATCTAGAACTTGAATTGTACACCATATTTGAATGAACCATACAACTTTTTTTGCACGGGTAGAATCTTCCAGCCTTCAGTCGGTGGTGTATGCTATTTCCTCACTTGTAAAATCACTCTTGTATTTCGCCTTTATTTTGTCCTACGCTGGTGGTGTAGTGGTTAAGTGCTACAGCTGCTAACCAAAAGGTCAGTGGTTCGAATCCACTAGATGCTCCTTGGAAACTCTATGGGGCAGTTCTACTCTGTCCTATAGGGTCACTATGAGTCAGAATTGACTCAATGGCAAGAGGGTTTGGTTTTTTGGCCTAAAGCAGGGATCAGCAAACTTTTTCTGCAACAGGTCAGAAAGTATTTCCAGCTTTGCAGGACATTAGGCCTCTGTTCCAACAACTTAACTCTGCCCTCCTAGCGGAGAAGCAGCCACAGACAATAGGCAAATGAACAGGTGTGGGTGTGTTCCAATAAAACTTTTACTGACTACAGCTTGATGTGGCCATAATTTGCCATCCCATTATAGGGGCTGGAGCAGCAGGTGGTGCAGCTGACCCTCATTTAGAACCCAGCAGGCAGCTTACGGACGGAACCAAGCTGCCTTTCATTGGCGCTAAACATTGGGCGAGTGACTGCCTGGTTTTGTTGGGGGAGCATCTCACTGCTTACAAGCTCTGTTCCCAAGGCGGTTTCAAGAGGCCCTTTCGGGTCAGATCTCACCTTCAGTAGCACACACAGTGTCTCATTTCACCAGCCGTGCAGCAAGGGGGTAGCCAGAGGTGCAGGAGGCTGAGGGATTGTCTAAGGCTGAGCTGTATCAACAGTCCAGGTCTTGTGGGGCTAATTGCCTCCATGAACAACTGACTTCTTTGCCATGAGACCAGAAGAACTAGATGGTGCCCAGCTACCATTACTGAACATTTTGATTAAAGATTCTATAGAAGAATCCTGTTCAAAAGGGGGAAAATGCAGAACAGAATTTCAAAATCTCATGGACTCCAGACTTTCTGAAACCATAGAGGCTGGACAAACCCCTGAAACTATTGACCTGAGATCATCCTTAAACCTTAAAACAGAAATCTCCCCTGAAATCTTCTTAAAACCAAACAATAGTTTAGCTTAACCAGTAAAAAATGTCTGCCTTGAGCATTATGCTCTTTTAAGAACTATCTATATGGGATCAAGCTGACAACAGCAACTCGAAATCTTAGGGGGCAATGAGTTTATGTTAGTAGGGGAGGAACAACTCAAAAACGGAGAATGAGAATGGTTGCACAACTCTAAGAATATAATCAATGTCCCTGAATTGTACCTGGAGAAACTGTTGAATTAGGTATATGTTTTGCTGTGTATAGTCTCAACAAGAACAAAAATAAAGTATAAAAAAAAAGAGCCCAGGTCTCCTGACCTCAACCCCAGGTCTTCTCTCCTGACCCACAAAAACAGGAAGCATCTTCACCTGCCCCATCATGAAAGTAACTGCAGAGACCAGTGCTCTTCTGGGGTTGTCCAGGGACTGTATAGAGTTACCAAGAAGTTAGGAAGGATTCAGCTCGCCAGTCAGATATACTGAACAAGTATCACCTGGGGATCCAGGTGATCTTGACACATATCGCAGGTGAAGGAGCAGTGCCTTGGTCCTTCAGGCCACCCAGGGGTCCAAAACACAGCAGCAGGGCCAGGGCCCAGGGCATTATGCCAAGGCCCCCAGTCTTCACAATATCCACAGCAGGCTTGAAGGAATATACTTTATTAATCTAGCTTTCAAACACTAGAGGCTAAAAGTCAGCTGAATTATAACAACCTATTTACAGAGTGCTGCCTGCAGGCCGGACAGGGTTGGGGCTGGTTCTTCCCAACCACCCACCAAGCCCAGCCTCCAAACAGGCCAGGGGTCACCTTCCACCTGTAGCAGAAACACCTGGCACGCAGAGGACATTTCAATCTACCTGACCAAACCCTCAGGGATGGAACACAGGCGGGAGGGCGCCAGACCGACACAGAGTCGGACAGACACAGACAGGGGCTGAGACTGCCGAGAAGGCCGATGGGCTGCCTCAGTACTTCTTCAGGTTGTAGATCAGGCTTCCAGGAACCCTGGTGCCATGCAGGGGTGGCGAGTTCCAGACGGCAGAGCTGGTGCGTTTGTGGTAGCGGGGCTTGCTCTTCTTGAAGATGTCCTCCAAGTCCAGTGGGAGAATGGTCCCAAAGAGCTCGAGAAGGTTCGGGGGGTGGTAGTACTGGTGGATGATGGCCTGGCTGAGCTGGGTGCCTGCAGGCGGACACAGGAGGGTGGGTCACTGCCTTGTGGTTCTCCATGAGCCCCTCATCTCCCTGCCCCGCCCGCAGGCCCTTATCACCCTCTCTGCCCCAGCAGGCTCATGGAGCCCTCCTCCTGCCTCCTCACCCCTAAACCCTGATAACACTCTTATTTGACGTTCTCACTGCCAGCTCAACCTGAACACAGGTGCTCAAAGGCTTCCATGGGCCAGGCCCCAGACCCCACATCTACCTGGGAAGGAGGTGCCTTTTCTCCCCAACCAGGCTGAAGCTGTGGAGGTGTACAGCCCTGCCAACAAGGTGACGAGGACCCCAGGCATTAGGAGCTTGCTCAGTACCAGGCACCGTTGCAAGTGCTTCCCACGTACAGTGAAACCTGTGAGAGCTGGAACTCTGCGGAACTCCCTTGTTTTTCCGAGTCTAACCAGTTTTCCGCCTTTGACAGGGTGCAGTCTTCCCACTTTTCTATCGGTTGTTTTAGTGGAAAATATTTTGAGTTTTCCTTCTCTGACAAGTTTCTGCCTTATACAGGTTCCAGCTCTCGCAGGTTTTACTGTACTAACTCATTTTATCCTCAACACACGTGCTCAGGTTACTGTCACCCCATTTCACAGGTGAGGTAAGCTGTCTACAGCCAACTATGACGTTCAGCTTCAGAGCCACACTGACCCTTGCCCACTGCCACCTCCCTGACAACCTGACACCAGTAGTTAAGGAGACCAAGTCAGACTGATTCAAATGAAGGGAAACTCATAAATACAGGTAGTCTTCTGTAGAGCGCCAACCCCCTATGGGATTCCTGGTCCTTCCTCTGGGGCGTGAGACTGCACCCCACCCTGGCCTCCAGCTCAACAAACTCTGTAGAGCACCCACTGCATGCACTCGCTGTCTGCTCCACTCCCAGCAGGCCTTGCTCCCTGGCCTGAGGTGGCACAGTCACGCTCACCACACTCATTTCAACACTGGGGCCAGTCAACTCCGGGGTCAAACCCTGCTCAAGCGCTCTCCCCACCGCCCCCCCCAGGGCCTTTTTTGCCTACCCTGGCTGGCCGGAACTCCCAGCTCCAGCTCTTAGCCTAAACCTGTTACCACCTTTTACACCATTCCCGCCCCAGGCTGCTCATTTGGATCCACGTCTCCTCGTTCTGCTGCGAGGGATTCCTCAGAGGGTCCTACAGGCCAAGCTAGAACACCCAGCACAATGCCTGTCCCAGGGTCAGATGCGATTTCTACATTTGTCAAGAACAAAGGAGCCCAACATTGTAGGTCTGGTCCTCAGATGAGCCTGATGGCCCCAGGAGGCGCACCCCTCCCTGGGCGCATGCCCAGAGCTTGCTGGAGGCTCGGTGCCGGGCCATTACCTGAAGTCTCCAGTTCCCGGGCACAGTTTAACTTCCCAACGCCAGCAGTGCCCAGAGTCCTAGAAGGCACAGGTGGGGACCCAAGTCTCCTGAGGAGCTCTGGGCGCTGCTTACCGCTGGCCCAGGCGGGGATGGGCTTCCGGGGGTGGGCCTCATCATCGGTGGAGTCATCGCTGTTCAGATCCATCCCGTAGTTATCCGGGTTGATCTTGGGCGGCCCCCTGTGCCCTTGTGGAGTCATTTGATAAGATGTACAAACTGGAGACTGGAAGAGATCAATGTGGCCGTCAGCTCCCCTCCCCCTGCTTCCTGCATTCCCCGGGGGGGATGGGGCGGGGGAGGGGGGCAGGCATTGCATAGAGGCAGAACCAGGAGGTGTTGGGGCTCTCGTCACCACCCCCACTTCACAGGAAAAGTGAGAATGTCCAGGGCCTACTTTTCAATGTCAACAAGTCAAACCACATACACTACTCTCTAGTTTCCTTTCTCACGGCAAAAGTATGTTGCAAACACCCTTCCAGGTCGGTGGGTATAGATTCACCTCTGGACACTCCATGATTTGTAATGTAACCAACCATTATGGATGAACATTTGGCTAATTTCCAAGTTTTCGACATTTTAAACTATGCTGCAATGAAAATCCTTCCTCAAACTACATTTTGTCTGTAAGAGCAATAACCTAGAAACGGCCTGAATGCTCAACAATAGGGCCTGGCTGAAGAAATTCTGGCGCATCCAAACTAAGGAATACTACACACAACAAAACCCAAACCCGCGGCCATCGAGTCAATTCCGACTCATAGAAACCCTATAGGACAGAGTAGAACTGCCCCATAGGGTTTCTAAGGCTATACTCTTTACGGCAGCAGATCACGAGGTCTTTTCTCCCATGGAGCAGCTGGGTGGGTTCGAACCACTGATCTTTCAGTTAGTAGTGGAACACTTAACCACTGTACCACCAGGGCTCCTCCAAGGAATACTACTCAGCCATTAAAAATAGGAGACTTGTACATGCTGAAATAGACAGATGTTTGCAATACACTAAGTGAAAAAAAGTGGAACAAAAAAAAAAAAAAAAAAATCAAGCAGCCGAATGCTATGTATACTCTATAATAGCCATTTTAAAATATGTATGTGTGCACACACACGTGTGTGTGTGCATGCACATACTCGCGAAATGGTTATATATGTAAATATCTAGCAGTATACACACCAGGTTTAATAGAGTTTATTTCTGAGAGTACTTTTTTTTAGCTTTACTCTTAAAAGGTTTAGTTGTTTTTTACAACAAATTCTATTTTTGGAATAAAAAAGAATATACATATCAAAACTAATAAAACCAATGAGGTCAACTGTATCCTTCCTCTTTCTTAGGGCCCTAATATAGCCCATGCTGCCCAGCTACAGGGAGGAGAATAATCAGAGCAGGGCCCTCTCAGCTCTGTGGCCCAGCCTCACCTGCACGTCCATGGTCACGTTCGGGCCTTTGTTGGCCACTGCCGCCTCCTTAGCTTTCTTCTCCTGCTCCTCCTGCAGCCGCTGCTCAGCCAGGCGCTGCTGCTCTTCCTGGGGCGCAGCCACCAGCAGAGGTGTTAGGAAGCCAAGGGTGTGCCCTTCCCTCCCCCAGTGCCAACCCCACACAGCACGGCAGCGAGGCAGCTCCTGCACCAGGAGTCAGCAGATTGGGTCTTCCCACTCTCCCAGCCCAAGCTCAGGAGACCCCTCACCTTGTTCTTCTTCTCCTCCAGCTCCCTCTGCAGTCGCTCCTTCTGCAGCCGCAGGGCCTTCTCCCTCTCCTGCGCCTCCCTGGGGACCAAGCAAGAACCTGTCACAGCAGGAACTGGAGGCCAGGCCCTGTCCCTGCCAGGGAAGCCAGGAGGCCCACCAGGACCCACATGGGAAGATGGAACGCAGAACGCGCACACTGGCTTAGAATCAACAGCTGTGCTTTCACCCGAAGAGCTAGGAATGCGCACACCAAAGGTGAAGGAGCAGGAATCAAGCCCAGCTTTGGGGTCCACCAAAGTCTGACCCCTACTCTTGCCCGCAACTCAGGTCTCTGGGCCTCACTTTTCTCTTCTGAACAATGTGATCAGAACGGCTTTCCTTCAAGGTCATCACCAGAATTCAATGAGACAATTCGTGTTACCTCCCCACCACCACGCCGGTGTTAAGGCAATGCTCTGCTAGCATCGTACTACCTCACAGGGCAGACACTGGCTCCAAGCAGTTCATGGGGCTTGGGGTCACCTCCATAACTTCCTAGCTTGTGACCTTGAACAAATCATTTAACCTCTCTGAATCTGCTTCCTCCTCCGTGAAACAGAGCTGATGGTTCTGAATGTTCTGACCCCAGAGGGGCCTTCAGATGAGGATTCAGCAAGGAAATGTGCATAAGCTGAGTACCCGACACATGGCTGCAGCCACATCACCTTCACGCCAACTCCACACAAAGCCCCCAGCACTGCCAAAACCCATTCACCCACCCCATCTCCCCCTCCAACCGCCAAGGAAAGTCAGCCAAGTGTCCCTCTCTCTGGCTCGGCCCACAGAACCAGGGACACCTTCATCCCAGTCAACTTAACGAAGCCCCAGGAGATGGCCCCACCCTGTCCAGCCCTCTGGCTGCAATTCTCAGACCCACAAAGACGGAAACAGACAAAAGTCTGGCCCAGCCTTCCTGGCCTGCATGCTTCCTGGGAGGTAGCAGCAGGAAAGAGGATGGCTGTAGGGCCTGGGTCTGGGTATGTCTGTGTGTCTGTATAACCATGTGGGCACAGTTTTCTGACTACACACAGGCATGTTTGTCTACACTAACAGGCACCAAAAATCCAAACTCATCACCATCGAGTCAATTCTGACTCATAGTGACCCTATAGGACAGAGTAGAACTGCCACGTAGGGTTTCTAAGGCTGTAATTTTTATGGAAGCAGACTGCCACATCTTTATCCCGCAGAGCAGCTGGTGGATTCAAATCGTCGACCTTTCGGTCAGCAGCTGAGCACTTAACCACTGCGCCACCAGGGCTCCTTACTAACGGGCACAGGATCCCATGGATCTCTCAGCCAACAGTGACTTCTTCTCATCCACCTTGCATCCCTGGGCCCAGCACAACAGGGCCAGGGTAAGCCCCAGCTATGCCTGCACAATTAATGGTAGAGTTCCTATCCACTGCAGAGAAGACTGCATCTGCCAGTCTGGAGACCCAGGGATCATCTGGTCCACAGTTCTCAATGGAGAACAGTCTAGAAATGTCGGTGGAGAGGGGAAACCTGAGTTGTCATCATCACCAGGGAGGTACATTGAGTGGGCAGGGGCTAAGGACACTACATGTCCTACAAAGTACCAAAAAGCATCACCACAAAAAAATCTCCTGGTCCAGACACCAACGGTGCCCCTTTTGAGAAACATTAGCTCGTCCCTCCCACCTTGTGTCAGCTGAGGAAATAATGAACCAAAGGGGCTGGTACAGGTGGTTGAAGGCAAAACCAAGACAAAGCCCCCAGTGACCCTGCCTGCTGCCCCAAGTGCCCTGTAGCCAACGTGCACTGTGTTCAGGTGGCCCCTGCTGTGGGCAGCTGGGTTTGGAGCCAAAAAAAACCTGCCCTTCTTTGCAAACCACCAAGTGAAGGTGTGAGCTGCATCTGGGCGGCCGCTACCCCCCCTCATCCACACACACACACGGGAACGCAGGGTGGAGGCGTGGTGGAATGGCAGGGGTTGCCTGCGGGCAATGGGTCACCTGCCTGGCCTGTGGCGGCCCTCACCTCTCAGCCTGGAGCCGCTCCCGCTCCCTCTTGCGCTCCAGCTCCTTCCGCTTCTCCTGCTCTGCCAGCTGCCGCTCTTGCTCACGCTGCTCTGCCAGCTGCCGCTCCTGCTCCCGCTGCTCTGCCAGCTGCCGCTCCTGCTCCCGCTGCTCTGCCAGCTGCCGCTCCTGCTCACGCTGCTCTGCCAGCCTTTTGGCCTCAGCTGCCTTCCGCAGCCGCTCCTGCTCCTCCTCCTTCTTCTTCTGCAGAAGCTCTTGGTGGCGCCGCTCTTCTTCCTCCTGAGATTTTAACGGAGAGCAAGGTCAGGGCCTCTGGCCAGGCATGGGCCAGAGAGGTCTAGTGGGGAGGGGAGGCTGGCAGGAGGGTGGGGTGCCTGCCCCACGGGGCAGCCCAGGCCCCTCTCACGTCGGCCACCATGACAGAGACCAGCAGGGCTAAGCCACAGAACACCCCACGCAAGACCCAGCAAGAACCTCCACGACCAGCCTGAGATGGCACCTTGTGACAACCTCTTTTTTTTTTTAATTGTTGTACTTTAAGTGAACGTTTACAATTCAAGTTAGTCTCTCATACAAAAATTTATACATACATTGTTATGTGACCCTCGTTGCTCTCCCTATACTGTGATAGCACACTCTTGCTTTCCACCCTGGATTTCAACCAGCTCCTGACCCTCTCTGCCTTCTCTTCTTGCCTCCAGACAGGAGCTGTCCATTTAGTCTCATGTATCTACTTGAGCTAAGAAGAAGCACACTCTTCACGAGTATCATTTTATGTCTCATAGTCCAGTCTAATCTTTGTCTGAAGAGTTGGCCTTGGGAATGGTTTTAGTTTTGGGCTAACAGAGAGTTCAGGGGTCATGTCTTCCAGGGTCCCTCCAGTCTCAATCAAACCATTAAGTCTGGTCTTTTTACTAGAATTTGAATTCTGCACCCCACTTTTCTCCTGCTCCGTCAGGGACTCTCTGTTGTGTTCCATGTCAGGGTGATCATTGCTGGTGACAACCTCTTTTATTAAGCGGTTAAGCATGTACCCTCTGGAGCCACATTCACCAGCTGCATGACGCTATGGAAGCCACTTAACCTCTGGCCTGTTTCCTCATCTATAAAACGGGAACAACAGCAATAGTTACACCTCAAGGAGCTGCTGAGTTTATATATGTAACACACTTAGAACATGCCTCGCACATAGTAAACACTCAATAAATTTTAGCCATTAAGTAATACAAGCCCCTAATGACAGACTGGTGTGGCCTAGAGTTATAAGACTGACAGTCCCAGGATGACCATGCAGACGGAGCATTCAGAATATGGATAATGACAGCAAACACGTACACAGCACTCATCACGTGCTAGACAATGTTCTAAGCACTTCACATACATTAAACACATTTAATCCCCACAACAAACCTGTAAAGTAGATATCACTTGTTAGAGATTTAATTGTGTCCCCCAAACACATGTTGTAAATCCTAACCCTTATACCTGTGGTTACAATGCCATTTGGGAATGGGTTTTCTTTGTTACGTTAATGAGACGATATTAGTGTGGGTATGTCTTAAGTCAATTTCTTTTGAGATATAAAAGAGATTAAACAAGCAAGGGAGCAAGCAGAGATGGGGAATGACATGCTATGCCACATGAAGACCACCAAGGAACCAAGAAATAGAAGCCGAAGAGACATATAAGCACCTTTCCCCCGGAGACAACAGACAGAAAGGCTTCCCCTAGGGCAGTAGCTCTGAATCCAGACTTCTAGCCTCCTAACTGTGAGAAAATAAATTTCTGTTTGTTAAAGCCACCCACTTGTGGTATTTCTGTTATAGCAGCACTAGATAACTAAGACACCGCTGTTACTTGAAGTAATGGAAACACAGAGAGGTCAAGTAACCTGCCCGAGGTAACACAGCTAATAAATGGCAGAGCTGAGACTGGAACCCAGAAAAGGCAGGCTTCAGAGTCCATGCACTTAGCCCTCAAACTGCCACTGCTACAGAAAACGGGAGGCAGGTCACTGTCACCATCCCCATCCCAGAAGCATCTGTTGAACCTCCTTCTGGGTTTGAAGCAACGCAATCTACCAGGATCAAGCCAACAAAGGGGTGGGCCCAGCAGAATCCTCCTTGGTGCCCCCCAGTCATTGTGGCCCATCCTGCCCCACCTCTTCCCTGACGCCGCAGCCCTCTCTGCCCACCTCTTCCCTGATGCCCCAGCCCTCCGCCCACCTCTTCCCTGACGCCCCAGCCCTCTGCCCACCTGCGCTCGCACCTGCTGCAGCCACTTGAGCCTCCGCGCCTCCTCCTCCTGCTTCCTGCGTGCCTCTACCTCCTCCATCTTCTTGGCTGCCGCCTTTTTCTTGGCCTTCTCCTCTGCTAGCCGCTCCTCCTTGGCCTGTAGAACCCCCGCCCCAGGTGCCCATTGAGCACTCCTGCTCACTTGGCCCTGCAGAACAGGGCCCAGAACTGAGCATGGTAGGCCTCCTGCCCTGCTGCAACCCCGCCCCTTCCCCCCAGTCCAGGGGAGAGGGCTCAGAAGCCGGTCCTGCCCAGAAGTGTCAGAGCACCCACTCACAAAGGGCTGCTGGGCGAACAAGCCAAGACCTTCAACCCCCCGCTGGGCTCTGAGCCAACTCCAAGCCCCATGGGGCAGAAGTACAGGGCATCCAACCCATAACTTCCCTAGGTGTCCAGGCCTAACCCACAGGCCACCAGGTCTGAACTACTTGGCTCCGCCCAAGGTGCAACCCAGCCCGAAGCTGGCCGCCCATCAGCCTGAGGCGCGCACCTTCTCGGTCTTCTCGTCGATCTGAGCGAATTTCTGCTCCATCTGCTTCTTCTTCTCCTCCTTCATCTGCTCCACCCGCTCCCGGGCCTGCAGCACCTTGCGGAGACGCTCCTCACGCTTCCTGTGGGCACAGGGCCGTCATAGGGTGCCCAGCCGAGGCCAGGGGGCAGGACGGTGGTCGGGGCTGTGCCACTTACAGCTTCATCTCCTCCAGTCGCCGCCGCTTGTCCTCCTCCACCTTCTGCCTGCGGAGCTGCTCTGCCTCCTCCTTGCGCCGCAGGTTCTCCAGGCGCTGCCGCTCCTTCTCCTGGGGAGGGGAGGGCGTGAGCGTACACAGTCAGTGCTGGACTAGGGACACGGCCAACCCGGGACAACCTCCCAACCCAAAGGGCTGCCCAGCGGTCCCCCAGCAGCCCCCAGCCAGCTGGGCAGCAGCAGCATCTTATCTTTCTCATCTGCTTAGAGGCAGCAGTGTCGCCTTCTAAATATGCCCTCCACCCCCACCCAGACCAAGTCCTGGGGCTTCAGCTTCTCCTCCCAAGGGCCTGAGTCATAGGTGCCCGTGACTGAGTCCTGTCAAGCCACAGGCAGCAGAAAAATCAGGGCTCCGAGGATGACTATGTAAAAACTGCCTTTGAAAAGAGAACAAAGAATGAGATTGGGAAAGGCAGCTTTGAAGGTGTGGTTAACATTCTATTAATGAGGGTGGCAGGTAGACAAGTTTTAAATTATTATTCTGCTCTACAACTTGTGTGTGTACACACACATATATACCTTCTTTTGTCTATATCAACTATAATAGTTGAAAGAAAATGAGAATAAAAGAAAGTATAGCCAAATGCTAAGAGAGGTTGCTATAGAGATGAGGGACAGTATTTTTTCCTTTTATTTTCTAAACTGCCTAGGATATGGCTGCATTACTTTAGCAATTTTAAAAAGAACTTTTTTGAAGTAGTAGATGGTTGTCCAGCAGACCGATGCTGGGGCCACCCTCCTCAGCAGGCCCAGGGAGCCCCGGCAGCACGGCCACAGCACTGGGCAACCAGCAGGGACAGACAGGGGCTCCAAGGCCACCCTGGCCACAGACAAGACTGGTACCTTACACCTGAATGGCCAGGGGATGTGAGTGGAGGCTGGGGCCCAAGCTGGAGCCCCACCCCATCACCCAACCTGGCTCTGCCCTGCCCTCCCGACACTGGTCACTGCTCACCTCTCCCTGGCCTCTGGAGAGGTGCATTCCCACCTAGAAATCTGCCCCAAAGTAATCAAACCCTCCTCAAGGGGGAGAGATGGGATTCTAGTTTCAGTTTAGATGGAGTAAACACTCCGCACTGTCTCTCCCGCTCACAGTGGCTATAAACCCTGAACAGAATGCATGGAGCCGCCGTCTAGGGCCTCTGAAAAGCAAACAGTAACAGGCCAACTGGGGAAGGAGACTAGATTTTAAAGCACCACTGACCGCCAATCACTTTTCCATTTTTTCCCGCCAGCCTAAACTCAGTGCAACCTAAAACCCAGAAGGGGTCAGGAGAGAACTCTAGGAAAGCCCTCAAGTTCTGGCTCAAGGACAAAAACAGGAACTTCTAACAACACAGAGAGTACAGGAATCCCGTACTTGTTTTTCTCTCTCCGTTCTCTCATGCCCCAGCCCACAAGAAGTCAGAGGAACTCGCAGGAGTCAAAGCTCTGTGGAGGGAGAGAACCTTCCTCTCCAGTCTAGGGAGCTGTGATCCCAAAAGGCTGGGGCAAAACCTCGCTGCTTTTTTCTTTCTGTCTCCCCGCTACTCATCCTTGAAGGCAGACATAGAAGCATGCAGCAGAGCAGGGGTACCTAAAGTCCCAGGTTCCTGGCTGGAGGAAAGAAAGAGGGAGCCCCAAAGAACCAGGAAGTACTGGACAGATCGGGCAAATGATAACCATGAGGTTATTTATGAACTCCTGGGCTTACCCCATTATGGACTGAATTGTGTTCCCCAAAAATAAGTTGTAAATCCTACTAGACCTATGATTATAATCCCATTTGGGAATTGGGTTTTCTTTGTTGTATTAATGAGACAATATTAGTGTAGGGTGTACCTTGAGTCAATCTCTTTTGAGATCTAAAAACAGTAGATCAGGCACAGAGAAGCAAGGAGAGTTGGGAAAAGAGAGATGCCAAGCCACATGAAGATCGCCCAGGAGCAGAAGCTCAGAGGAGACAAGGACTTCCTCCAGAGCCGACAGACAGAGAAAGCCTTCCCCTAGAGCTGGCGCCCTGAATTTGGAATTGTGGCCTCCTAAACTGTGAGAAAATAAACTTCTGCTTGTTAAAGCCATCCACTTGTGGTATTTCTGTTATAGCAGCACTAGATAACTGAGATACCCCCAAACCGCAGCTGCATGGACCTGACCCCAATTACCACACCAAAGACTGTGAGGACCAAACTAACAGAGCACTTCCAGGTCCCAACCTACCCCCTGACTGGTGCACACCCAGGGCAGATCCAAACATCACTGCAGACTTTGAAATCTGAACTAACATTGGAACAGCACTCCACAGAAGGTGGGTTGGAACTTGTGGCCTGAACCTTACCTATGGAAGAGGTGCACATTTTTAAGGTGCTGAGAGAAAAGAACCCAGAACTCGAAAGCCACTGAAAATACCCTTCAGAAATGAAGATGAAGTAGACATTCTCAGATGAAGGAAAACTAAGAAACCGTTGCCAGGACACCTGCTTTGAGAGAACCGTTAAGGGGCGTTGTCCAGACAGAAGGGCAATGATACCAGGAGGAAACGCGAAACATCAGGAATGAGGTGAGAGCAACAGAAATGGCAGATAGTTGGATAAATCTTCATCTCCTCTTGAGTTATTTAAAATCGTGAAAACAGAAATGACAACGTTGTCTGATGGTGGAGCCGACGCACAGAGATGTAGAAGACGATTGTAGCATACGGAGGAAGGAGTGACGGGACCTACGTGAGGGGAAAGTTTCCACATTCCAACTCAACTGGTAAGACACTGATTCCAAAAGGACTGTGAAAAGTACGTAAAACGCCTAAAAACACAAAAACCAAACCCGTTGCCGTCCAGTCAATTCTGACTCACAGCCACCCTTTAAGACAGAGTAGAACTGCCCCATAGGGTTTCCAAGACTGTAAATCTTCACCGAAGCAGACTGCCACATCTTTCCACTGAGAAACCACCGACCTTTTGGTTAGCAGCCGAGTGTTTTAACCACTGTGCCACTAGGGCTCCTTAAGTAATACCTAGAACACCACTAAAAAACAGTCTGCAAGATGATATAGCCAAATCATTATAAATTAAAAACACAATACTAATAAATGTTCAAATAACCCTCAAAAATGGCAAGGGGGGGGGGACAAGAAAAAACAAAGAAAACAGACAAATAAAAAAATGGTAGACCTAAATCCAAACATAACATTAAATGTAAATATACCAAATCAAAAGCATTGCTAGAATGAATGAGGAGCCCTGGTGGCACAGTGATTAAAGCGCTTAGGGGCTAACTAAAAGGTCAGAGGTTAGAACCCACCAGCCACTCCTCGGGAGAAAAATGTGGCAGTCTGCATCGGTAAGGATTTACAGCGGAGGGTCTCTCTCTGCCACCTACTGAATGGTCACCTCAAACCAAGCTCAGTGCTAGGTGCTGGGCACACATTACTCTGTGGCTCATCAAATCTCTATGAAGTAACCACTGGTCTCCTCATGATGAAGCTGAGGAAACTTAGGCCCAAAGGTTGAGAAATGTGTCCAGGGCCCCAAAGGCAGGAGCTGGGATTTAAACCCAGGTATTTACCCCTGCACCCTTCCTAGGCCCCTAGTCTTCTAACTTAGGCCCACCCCACACCCACCAGATGCCCCGTCCAAGGGCCTCGGCTCATCACCGTGAGGTCGCAGGACGCTGGTCAGTCTGGGTAGGGGCACGTGTGGGGCTTCTCCTCAGGGGAGGAGTAAGTGCAGGTTGCGTTCACCGCAGTGGGCCTGGCACGAGAAAAGGTGCCGTCAGACCATGTGGCCCGTTTGCTGGCACACTGGAAGGCGTGCCACCATCACCTCAGCCACCCAGAGGAGACCAGCCCCCTTGCAAGGTCAGGTCCTGCCTGTCCAGCTGCCGGGAGGCCCTCCACTTGCTCAGCCCCAAGACAGTGCTGCTCAGCCCTGGCTGGAGGCAGAAGCCCTCCCCACTGCACAGGGCAACCCTGTGCGGCCAAGCGGGAATCCCTTCAGAGCGTCTGTGGGAGTTAAAGGGATGGATGGGCTACAGCCTTGGCAACTAGCCCAGGAGACCCCAGGGAGCTGGGAGTGTGGGCTGCGCAGGCCCCAGCTCCCCACGGCTCCTCGTTGGTGGCCGGTGGCTGGCTCAGCTCAGCTCAGCTCTGAGGTATCTGAGAAGAGAACAGCGGCCTGGTTCCCAGAGGCCACCACTGACAGTTACACCATCACCAGCAAGGCCCCACCTCCAACCACAATCAGACCCAGACCTCCTTGGCCCCTGTGGCTCTGCCCCTGCAAGGCACAGCTCAGGTTTGTGACCTGATAGATCTCAGTGGTTCTGGGGATCAGAAACAACTCGTCTGTTCTCTTCACAGCCCACAGACCCTGAGCGGAAGCTGGTTGCTGGGAGGTGGCTGTGGGGAACACTTGAAGCTGTGGGGAACACTTCAAGCGGTGGGGAACACTTCAAGCGGTGGGGAACACTTGAAGCTGTGGGGAACACTTCAAGCGGTGGGGAACACTTGAAGCGGTGGGGAACACTTGAAGCT